TTCTACATCTACAGTGCCCTGTGTGTGAAATGACATTTGAACTGATTTATTCATAGCAGTTATTCAATAGCAAGAGAATGGAAACAAATGTTCAATAGAGGTCTAGTAAAATACACCATGTTATGTCCACAGAATGGACTACTACATAGCTGAAAAAAGGGAGGGAGCCTTTTCTGTCCTCATATGGAAAGATCAGTCAGACTTGGTCTTAAATGAAAAAGCACAGTATAGAATAGAGTGCACAATATGTAACCATTTGTGTAAATAAGGGGGAAATAAATACACATTTATACAGTATAGATCAGAGATAAGAAAACTATGACCTTTGTGCCAAATACAGCCCACCATCTGTTTTTCTTTTTTTTTTTTTTTTCTCTTTTTTCGTGACCGGCAATGGATCGCAACCCTCAGTGTCGCGCCCATACCGGACCGGGACCGGCTATGAGATCGCAACCCTCGGTGTTGCTCCCGCACCTCGCTCAGCCAGTGAGCGGCCGGTCTGCATGTGGGATCCGAACCCTCAGCGGGAGCGCCGCCACGCTTCCCAAGCGGCGCACTGTAGCAGTGCGCCACCGGGCCGGCCCAACACCACCATCTGTTTTTCTACATAAAGTTTTATTGGAACACAATCATGCCCATTCCTTTCTGTATTGTCTGTGGCTGCTTTTACACTACTGTGACAGAGTTGAGTATTTGCTACTAAAACCACATGGTCCACAAAGCCTACAATACTTACGATCCGGCCCTTTTCAGAAAATGTTTGCCCCCACTCTGCACCCAGTGTAGTAGGTTGAATAATGGCTCCAAATAGATACATTCAAGTCACAATCCCCTGTTCCTGTGAATGTGACATGATTTGGAAACAGGTCTTTGCAGAGGTAACAAAGATTTCAAGATGAGATCATACTGGATTTAGGGTGTGCACTCATAATCCAATGACTGGTGTCCTTATAAGAGAAAGCTGAGAAAGATTTGAGATACACACACACAGAGATGCCCAGGGAAGCAGAACATGTGAAGATGGGAGAAGAGATTGATTTTATGCTCAAGCCAACAAGTACCAAAGGTTGCCAGCAGACACCAGAAGCTCGGAGAGAGCCATAGAAAAGATTCTCCCTCAGAGCCCCCAGAATGAAACAAACTGGCCAACACCTTGATTTCAGACTTCTGGCCTCCTGAACTGTGAGAGAATAAATTTCTGTTGTTTTAAGCCAGCATCCTTATTGTTGAGGCAGCCTTAGAAAACTAATGTACCGGGCCGGACCCGTGGCACACTCGGGAGAGTGTGGTGCTGGGAGTGCAGCGACACTCCCGCCACGGTTCGGATCCTATATAGGGCTGGCCGGTGCGCTCTCTGGCTGAGCGCGGTGCGGGCGACACCACACCAAGGGTTGTGATCCCCTTACCGGTCACGAAAAAGAAAAAAAAGAAAAAAAAAAAGGAAACTAATGTGCCTGGTACAGCTTATCTCTGGAAGGATACACAAGAAATTAACAACTTTGGTTGTTGATGGGAAGGGGGTGAAGAGGGCTAGCAAACAGGAGTGTGAAGGAGACTTTTTATCCATATGCTCTTT